ATATCAACAATGCTGATAAAACAAAATTATCATTTATTAATGAATGAACAATGTTAGAATAATCAATACAATAACTTATATAGAGAATTTATTACAATTTTCATGTTTTTTAGTATAATTATTACAAGTCATTTTTAATGTAAATCCGACTTATTGTAATCACCTAAACCGATAATGTTAAGCAAATAAGTAAATTAGAATTAAAGGAAATTCTACTTTATTAATTTTGACATTAAAAAGACATGTTAAAATGAGCAAAATACATCTGCTATCAACTTCAATCACAATTAAAATAATGCCAGCAACTTAAACTATTGTATTGCAGGCAAAGAACTAAAATGAACAACATTTAATGTTTAAAAGGCACTGGTTAAGACTGTTAATGACAACTGATTATGATTGTACATTATTGTTATGGTGAGCCTAATAGCATGAAAAAAGGATAAAAAGATTATTTAAATTATTACATAAAAATTCTTATAAATCTGTAAGAATATTTAATTTTAGTAGTCAAATTTTCAGTTTACCTATCATGAAAATTATTATTAATTTTGCTTAATAATTACTTTGATTCTAAATAGAAGGTACAGTACTCACTTCATTATAATGACTTTGACTAAAATATAAAGAAGAAAATACAGCATAATGTCCAGCCAAATTTACAGGATAACCAATTGATTTCAACTGTTCTATATATTTCTGAGCTTCTTGAAATGTTTCTTCAGCTTCTTTAAATTTACAATAAGCATTCTGAACATGCAATAGCCTAAAATTATAAATTAAAAATTGTCCACTTAATTAAAAATTTTAACAAAATAATAAATCAAAATTATTAATTTAATTTTCAATCTAATATGCATTATCTTAAGCAACAAAAACATTTATTCATTAACAGATAAAAATAACTTTCTGCAATATACATATAACTTTCATATTATATCAAGTATATTTAAATACCTAGCAGAAAATGAAATACCATCCGTGGGTTTATAAATATGTACTGTACATGTATAATTTTAAATATTTAATATAATTACATATAATTTTTAAACATTTCACATTTATCTCATAAAGTTTGATTTATTTCAATTAAATTTCTCAAAAATCAAAAGATACTTTTGTAAGTAAGAAAAATATAGAAATATTTTTGAAATCAGTTTACCATTTGATGTATTTAATGAAAAATGTTTTAAATTTTTCTAGTAAATATATATTAAAATAAAATCAATCTTAAATAATCTTCCTGTGTTAACTGTGCTTTTATTTTATGTAACTTTTCAGGTAAAAATCAAACAATAACAGTTCTCACATCTTCCAGAAAAATATCTTATTTATCAAACATTTGTGGTTGATTGGGAAACCATCCTCATGATTAACCATTAATAAATTCAAATACAGATTGTAGAATACATATATTTTTAAAATTTAAGAAGTGAAAACAGATAAGTAAAATAAATACATCAAATACAAATAAAATAAAAATACACTATAAATGAGAAAAATTCATTAATAAACTGAAGACAAGTATCAATGTCCCTTTTAATGGTTTAAAACATACTGTACTTACAAGCTGTGGGCAGGTAACTAGCATCTTTATAATTGATGCATAAACTCTTCATAGTATGTTGTTTGTATATTGTTAACTTTACAATGTATCAACAATTTCAACATTGAAAAGTTAGCAATATGCAAACATGTTATGAAAAATCGCTTAAATTCTTATTTAATCATAAATAGCATTAACCATTTTTTAAATTTTGAAACTGTATGTATCATATTTCCATGCATATTTTTACCTGAATATCTTTTGCTCCCATATTTCTAAGAAATGTTTTTAGGGAAAACAAAATATTAAAGTATTTTTCACATGAAAAATGCAAGACTTCTCATACTGAATCACTTAGTGTAGGAGATAGGATAAATCAGCCAACAAGAAATTTCACAGTATATAGGTGCTTCGTTTACCCTCATTTCCTTGTATAAACTTAACAGTACATTATCTTTGTACTTACTGGAGGCTTAAAAGAGTGAAGAATAAAGGCTGTTTTTAACTGTAATGCTTTATAGCACTTTAGTAGGTTTATTAGTGTCATACTGAGTAGAGTTAACTGCAACTTTAAGATGCAATAAAAAACTAATTTTATACTGTCTGGTAAAACTGTTGAACTAATCTGCTTTGCAGAGCAGAACAGAAATTGAGGGGACAAATGAAAATTTGGTATCAGTGAGGCACTTGTTCACTACTGGTGTAAACAAAAACAAGCTCTAAGCAACAAAGGTCCAATGTGAGAACATTTTGTGGTCCCACGACTGGAAAGTATAAATAACTTGAGAAAAAACTGTTACGATATGTTGAACAAACATGCAACGATGGCTGTGCTGTAACACATGATATTCTGCAATCATGGGCTTGCAGTATATTGCTCAGACAAAATATTTCTTCCCTTGAATTTAAGGCTAGTCAAAGATGGGTCAGCAGATTTAAGAGGAAAAATTTCTCTCTATATAGAACTGTATTGTGCTAAATGTTGAATAAATAGTGAATAAATACTGATATAATGTACTTTTAAAAATAATTTGCATATTTTTGGCATCTCGATTAATAAAAAATGGCAAAAAACAAAAAAAAGTGCAGAAATACAGTATTCTATATTCAATCTATTAGTGGTTCAATCCGAGGATGGCTGTCTGGTCAGCCAATAAACATTTCACAAATAAAATATATTCTGCTGAAAGTGGTAACTTATCATTTGTTCAAAACACTAGTTTACAAAACTACTTATTAAAACCAAAGGACTTAAAATTTCTATTTTGTAAATATATATAAAAATAGTTAGTATTATGTAACACTATATATATATATATATATAAGGATATAGTTACAAAACTGATATCAAACATTTTTAATATATTCTTAACAATAAAATTTATAAAGGTTTTTGTAACATGCATGAAAATTTTATAAATATACTTGTTAATTACCTAATGCAACATTCCAACAATATATTTAGATGAGGAGGATCTTTCAACTGTTTACAGATTTCCATACATGATTTCATTATTTTTTCAGCATCAAGAAACCAACCTGCATCACTCAAAATACTACCTGAAATAAGAATTTATTTTCAAAGTTTATATGAGAAATTACTATTCAATAATAAATTGTATTTATTTTTTTAATTTAGTTTTTCATTTGAATAGGTAATAAAGCTTTAACTTCCAAATATTTTTCGTCCAATTATCACAGTGGACAATATGGAAGATTTTATTATAACTGACCTGTAAATGTACAATATTTAGGTTTTCAACATAAATACAAATCATTTAATGTCAATTACATAAAATGATTTTTAAGGAGGACATTGTCCAACTTTGTCATATTGTAGGAGAAATGAGGCAGAGTCGGAAAGAAAGAAGCAATCTTTGCACTTGTTAGACACAGAGAAGGTGATCCTTGTACCTGACCATCTCAGACACATTTGTCACTATAAAACAGACTCTCTTTACATCTGCAAGTCATGAGAGGGGTGATCATTTCACTGGCTGGGCACACAGATGATCCTTGCACTTTATGACATGGAGAGGCAATCCAAGAACAAAGTAATGGATACCAATGCCTACCAGTGACAAAGTAGATAAAACCACTTTACAGTGGTAGTTGGTTGAGTTCATGCCTGGCCAATGGGAGCTATGTGGAGATTTCCAAGTTTTCTTCACATCAGTAACATCTAAATAGGAGCCAATTTCCCATAAAACTCCCTAGACCTCCAGAGAGGTATTCGCCTCAGCAAATTGTCCATGTGTCGCATTGCCATATACGAAAAAAAAAACCAAAACTAAAAGCAATTGATGCCAATTGCTTTGTTTCTTTTTATTTCACCCCTAAATTCTGTAAGAAGTGCTCAAGGAGCATGGACATTATCACTTTGACCCCATTTTATATCAAAAATAAAATCAAGGACCAGTTTCTACATTTAAATTTATTGTTTTTGGACTCTTTATTGCAAGCAATATAAAATGGCAAAGTTTTATCAAAATTAGGCCATCAAATTTGAGAACAAACTTAACTTATAGAAATAAGCAACACAGAAGATGTGCTAGTGACCTTGGGACATCATTGCACAATTTGTGATACTGTTTTGTCGCATGCACTCATGAAATGACCTTATATCTTGAAAATGAAGTCAGAGACCCTATTTGTTTGCATTCTTGAATTCCTCATCTCAACTAATGAAAAATGACAATGTTTAATCAAAATTGATCAAAAAGATTTTGAGAATGAACACAATTCAATTCTATTTGAGGTTTTGCTAATGCTCTGCCTCAAATATGGACAATGCAGAACTAAAATACATCTAAAATTCATACAAACTATCTTTTCTAATATACTAACAGTTACACTAATTAAAATATTTAAATAATAAGTAGTATATAAAATTGTTAGTGTATCAAATTAAAAAAAAAAAAAACAGTAGATATTAAAACTATTTCTAAATACAGTCGACCCCCCTATAACGTACGTTCCTATAACGACAATTCCTATAACGTAGCGAAAAAATTGTAGAAACTTTCGTATAAAATACCTCCTATAACATCGTTTCGCGACAAGATTGATAGAGTCTGGAGCAATAGTGAATGAGCAGCCGAACTACTTTCCTCCGACCCTGCGCCATGCTACGGAGCGGCTAAATTGAGTTTGCTATCGTCTGTTTAGTATTATATATAAATTATATATAAATTAGGTACTGTACATATAATTATATATTAATTATATATAAATTAGGTACTGTATATATAATTATATATTAACTTAATTTATTGTAACTTTATTATAATTATATATATGCTTTCTGCCGCCTGGCAACACGCTACGGA